TCTCCCTCTCCCTCTGCCCTCCCCCTGCTTGTGTTCTCTCTCTCTCTCTGTGTCAAATAAATAAATAAAATATTTTTTTAAAAATTCTACAGTGTTCTTTTAGGGTAACCGCTGAAGGTGTCAGCAAGCTATGACCTGTCACCTGTTTTAGTAAATAAAGCTGTATGATGACACAGACATACTCATTTGTTTATCTATTGTCTGTAATGGCAGAGGTGAGTTGTGACAGTGACCCCATGACTCACAAAGCCTAAAATATTTACTACTTGGCTCTTTAAAAAAAAAGAAAGAAAAAGAAAGAAGTTTGCCAATCTTTACGTCCTAGGTGATCCATGCTTTGCACATATGATGTCAAAAAACATGAACACTTCTTATTTTCTTTATAAGTACTTGTTCACACATTTTTTATAATGAATGTTTTATTATTTATTTTTATTGAATAGTACTTTGTCATAAAAATTCAAATAATATTTGCACTAGAAAAATTAGATTACCCAAAGCAGTGCTTCTTACTTTTGGGTGTTAGAACACTTTTACACTCTGAAAATTATCGAAAACCCAAAGTTCTTTTGTTTATTTGGATTATATTTTTCAATGTATGTCACTTTAGAAAGCAAAATTAGAAGACGTTTATTTATTTAAAAATAAAATATTTTTCTGAAAAATAACCATATTTAAAAAAAATAGAAGACTGGCACTGGTTTAAATGTTTGCAAATTTCTCTAATGCCTGGCTTATCAGAAGACAGTTGGTTTTTCTTATCTGCTTCTGCATTCTATCTGCTGCAATATATTGATTTACTTGAATTATGTCAAGACTTAGATATATTGTTGAAAATGTAAGGAGTACTTTAAGTCTTTCCAGACTACTGGGAATATTCTTTGATACTTCATCAAAACTTGACAAATGCTAGTTTCTTTAAAAAAAAAAAATCATTTGTAATATGGAATGTGAAACAATATAAATGAACTTTCCATGCTCTGTTCCATTGAAATCCAGCCAAATACTTCTTCTTGCTCTCAAAATGGGAGGATTCGCCCAGGCACGATTTTGTAGCATTGAGCAATGATCATTTGGAGCTATCAGTTCAATCAGTTATGCAGATCTTCCAAATATTGATGCATTTCACTATAAAGTATCCCCCAAAATCACATCAGTTAAATCACCATGCATCTCATCAGTCTGGAGCATGGGAAGCTTCCAAGTTTGAAACCATGTGTCCATAGGATTGATGAGGTTGAAACTGGCAGAAAGTTTAAAGCTTGTTTTTCTGAAAATTGTTTCCCCCTAATCAGCTATTGTGTCTTTTCAGACCCCACTAACAAGCCCACTGTCTGTCTCTGCAGAAGCCTGGACTCAAGGTCAACTGATACGGTTCCAGCCTATGAACAAAGGAGGCCCCACATTCCTTACTCAAGATAATAAGCCCAAGACCCCATCCAGTTTAAAATGTCTCTTGGAGCAAACCCATAGCCCCTTCTCCTTGCCTGAAGATAACCTCCTGACGTCAGGGGCTGAATGCTGCCTCGTTCTGATGTTAAGTCTACACCCAAAGTGAACACGGGATGTATGTTACATGTACGTTTGTTCAATGTGCATGTTCCATCTCTCCTTATGAGCTGTCATAAGTTTCCCTGATCTTTTCATCAATATGTATGCAATTTCAACCCCTGTGATTATAAAAAACTCATTCTCTCTCCCTTTGGGGAGGCAGATTTGAGGCTTGTCCTCTCCTCTCCTGGTTTGGCTGCATAAATAAACCCTTCCCTTGCTGCATACCTGATGTCTCAGTGATGGCTTTGCTGTGCATCGGATAGAGGAACTTGGGTTCAGTTCCAAGTTCATGGTTGAAAGCTTGCATTTTATCACTGGCAAAAAATACTGTCAGCTCTTTTCCTACAAGTGACAGGTTCACTCAGATCCTTTATGAGAAAATATCTACCAAATATCCAGGTCTGAATAAAGTATGTCTATCAGTCATTTGTTTCAAGTAAAAATTGTGTTTCATGACGCAAGTGCTAGTGCTGCTCAAGACTCCAACCACACAGGGGCTTGTCCACTGTGTTGGTATGCAGAAGTGTGTTTTCACTTTATTGCCCGCTTTGTCTTAAAAACACATGTAGTCAAAGATGGATATTAAATAAAACCAACATTCTTTTCATTTTTTTCCTGTTTCATCAGGGACATCCATAAGTGAAACGGGCACTCGATTCTCTTCCTGCTGAGCATGGCCGTGCAAACCAGCAAGACAACTAGTACTGTTGGGTAGGAATGCCTAATTTACACTAACCAGCAGTTTACCCACCTCTGTCTCTGCATCACCAGTGTGAATGTCAAACAGTCCAGAGGACCCCTGTGCATTATTATAAAGAAGTTTTCACCTCATGAGCCCCTGAAAGGGTCTTGGGGACCCCAAATGTGAACCTCACACACTATGTGAACTGCTGACCTGGGGCAACCTTCTCCTGAGGCAGTGACAAGTGGCTCCAGACAGTGAGGTGACCCTCAGGAACTAAGATAATCAGGACAACGTGAGGATGAGGCCCACACTCCTGAACCACAGTCCTCCCACTAAACCATGCTGCCCTTGGACACAGCCTCTGTCTAAAGCGAAGGTGAACAAGCCAAGGCTCCCAAGCAGGGGTGTATTTCAGATTAATTAGGTAGAAATTCCAAATCAACTGTATCGCCCCTGAAAATGTCACAGCTTTGAAATGCCAGAATGCTACACTGAGGTGTGTCAAGCCTTCCAGCAACTGCACAGGGCACAGGGCACAGAAATGGAATCTGGCTTAACTCCTCTGGAAGTGGTGGGAGTCTAAAGAGTTAAAAGGTCAATTTTCGGGGAGGAGGCAGGGAGGTAGAGACAGAGGGAGGCTGCTATGGATGGAGAGTGAACCTCCTCAGAGCTGCCAGTAGGATCAGGATGGGAGGGGGGAGCAGGTGTGTGTGGGGGGCAAGCCCAGAGTGTGTCTATCATGCAGACATGTTTTGTAAATGTCTGCCTCGCTGTGCATCTCCTTGATAATGCGCCTGAAAAACTAAGCTGTCCATTCATATTTACAAAAGGAGGAATGGATCAGACAACAAGCACACGGGGAATAAAGTAAAGCCTCATTTCTGGAGAAGGCATTTCCAGGGTAGAGCCATTTCGTGTTGACCTTGAGAACCAAGCCAGGCTACATGCATTCACTGAAGGAAGATTAAAAACACCCTTTAAGGCGCAGCCAGCCAGGAGGGCACGAGCACTGAGTCACTACCCTGCCTCGGGCACTGGCCCCACGGTCCCCTCCCTCTTTCCTGCGCTCCTCCAGAGCACAAAATCGGAAATGGCAAGGGAGCAAAAGCCTCCAGTCTTTAGGGAGCCGCCTGCCAAACAGATGATTCATCCCTCTTGAGACTCTGCCACCCTGGCCTGTCTCACTTCTCCCTGGGACTGCTGCAATGTGACGGACTTCCTTCGTGCCCTCAGGTCCAGGCTCTGGAACACTCCCTCTCAAATGAAAAGCTGACCCATCACTTCCCTGCTTCAAAGATCTCAATGCCTCTCTCTGCACCACGAGTGCAGGGGTCAGAGTTGGAGTTTCTGGAGAGGGAGAGTGGGGTTTAATGGAGTCCAGGCTCCACCCCCTGTGCCTCTAGGTGCCTCCATAAAACAGGAATCATCATATCCTTGGCTTGCAACACTGAACACAAGAGCATTTAGAAACAGGACTTGGCTGCAGTAGATGCCCGGTAAGTGGCACCTTTTATTACAATTATTACGTGAAGTCTGATTTCTGAAGAATGATGCACGAGGACATCGTGAGCTGCCCGCGTGCCTGCTTATCTATTCAGGTCTCTCCCCACTCCCAGCCCCTCGTGCTGCCTGTAGCTCTCACACACCCCCCATCTCCCCTACCCCTGTGCCCTTTTATGTGCCCCCACCTCCCACCCCCAGCGCTCCTTGTGTTGTCTCACCTCCTTGTTATCCTGGCCTTTGGCTTGGATTTCCCTCTTCTGGGCAGTTCTTCTTAACCTCCTCTCCCTACCGGCCATCAGCCCTCACGGTGGGTTAGGGTTCTGTTGTCATTTCTTCCCTGTCAGTCTGCATATCTCTCTGTCCTTCTAACCATGGAACTGGAATTGCCCATTAGAGTCATTCTCCCCCAGTAGACTGCAGAGGATCTGAGGTCTAGCTCTGTGTCTTATTCATCTTTGCATCACTAGTAGGCCTAACATAGTATCAGGCCTTGGTGAGTTGGGGAATCAATAAATAATCGATGCTTGTTAAATGACTATATGATCTGCTTTCTTACCTTTTCTTACCCTTTAAGGTATCAGGATATGCTAAACCCCAAGCTCTTACCATCAACTACTATATGCCCCTACACACAGCCCTCCCCACTCTCCCATTCCCTCCACACACTTCCCAGAATTTGAGTTTCAAGCACAGAGATCCCGATTTCCCATACCAAGGCTTCTACTGTTGGACACTTCTGCCCTGTCGAGTGTTTGCTTAGGACTGCTGGTAGCTACCAGCACTACCAAATTATTATTGTTTTTTATGGCTGAAAAAAAATCATCTCTAGGCTCTAGGAAAGATTGTTCTATGTTTCCAAAACAGTTCAGTTTGCTTTTCAATAACATTCAAAGTGGAGGTGTTTACAACTGCTGCACCGTTTTCAGAAACAGTTACACGAGGCCGGGAAACAGGACTGCACGGCCCGCCTGAGCAACCAGCAGGGGGTGCTAGAGGGCAGCCGATAAGCAAACCTGAGGAGCAACTGGCTCTTCCTCTCAGAAACCCCTGGTGGCGGAGTATTTATGGACAGTACAGCCGGGAGGGGCCTCCTGGCAGGGAGCTAGCCTCGGGTACTTCCCTAGCTTCTTCCTCAGATTTTCATGAGACCGTGACCTTTTGTAAGTCCTTTGATCTTCACTTAGCCAATTTCACAAGTAGATTTCTAGGGACCAGGATGATTTCAGCTAACTAGCAGAGCAAGCCCCAATATTCCTAGTTCCCTGAAGGAGTCCACGGCATGAATTTGTTTTTATCAAGAGGGCCATTAACAACTCTGTTAATAAGCACGTATGTATCAGGAGGGTAGGAAGGAGATATGTCAGCACCTGGCAGGCACAAGTGCTGAGACGAAGAGACACGCTAGCTTATAAAAAGGAAAGACTTCTTTGTTTTCTCACATTGAACTATGCTCTAATTATGTACCCTTTAAAAAAAAATCTTTATTTTAGAGACAGAGAGCACACAAGTGGTGGAAGGGGCAGAGGAAGGGAGAAAAAGAGAATCCTGAAGCCAACTCCTCCCCACTGAGCGTGGAGCCAGGGCGGGCTCGATCCCAGGACCCTGAGGTCATGACCAGAGCTGAAAACTAGAGTTGACTGCTTAACCGACGGAGCCACCCAGGAGCCCCTGATTACGTATCCTTAAGATGGTAGTACAAAATTGGATTCAAAGGAACCAAGGCAAAACAATAAAGAGAATTCCTTAAAATTTCTGAGTGTGTTCTTCAATTATGAGTCTATAACTCTAATCATGAAGCTTCATCTAAGTGCAGACAATATAAATTAAATTTGGATGCTAGAAACTAATAAAGATATAAGTGACATTTCCCGCTCCCCGGAAACGTTAATTCCTGGTTTCTTTCACGCTCTCTTCCAAATTCTGAATAGTTTCCAAGACTCTGGTCAGGGATATTTATGCCAGAACAAAGAGCAAGAGAAATCTCCCTGACGTGCAAGAGTAATCCAAATATGCAACTACTATGCAGAGGTGTTTAAAATAAGGCAAAACAAAACCAGAAGCAAGTTACTGCCTGCTTTAAAGCGTAATACTTAAATTCCTTCTTACGTTATTAATAATGGTCCTCGGAAATGGGGAAGAGCTTCACCCCAGGGAGCTTAAAACCACTGTTCTTCCCTAATCAATTGCAGACTGTTCCGCTCCAGCTCTGGCGGCATGTGACGCGTGGACAGTGTTATTACGAGCCTGCTGTAATGTCAGCACGGGGATACTGGGACCCTAGACCTCAAGCCCATACTCGTGCCTACTTTTTTTTTGACTTTTTAAAAATTTCACATTCAGCTTCATTCCCAAGAACATCTGAGAGGAGGTCTGGGTTGTGGAGCTTGATTACAATGGCATCACCCCATTTCAAGACGGCTCTGGCTTATCAGCCATTCCTCTGGAACACATAACACTAATGGACCCAAGAAACAATGGTTATTCCTTTCGAACAAGTGGGCAATGCCCCTGACTCTCACTTCCAGGTGAGTTATGAGCTATAACTAACACCATCTACTGTAAGAATGTAGTAGACAACAGTTGTTTTACACTGGGACTTGAGGCCAAGGCTGTGTCTGATTCACATTTTTTTTTTCTTGGCACCTCGCCAACCGGTGCGAGGTCAGAACTCCTTGTTCCAACCGGAAGGGCTCTCCTCTGAGCCCACAACATCCATCGAGTCCCTGGGCTAACTAAAATTACCATCATTTGTACTTCTCTTTGGAGAACTGTCACTGCAGTAGGGACTAAACACGTGTTTATTAAATGAGTGAATGAGTCTGAAGGGTCAAAATGCTCACTCAATGGTGTGGCAATGGAATGAGCCTGGGCACAGAGGGATGTCTAAGGCCTTACAGCAAAGACTGAAGTTTCCTGGGGAAGAAGGAATTCTGTTTCCAGTGCAACAGAGAGTCCTGCCTCAATTTTCCACCTGCTGGCCTGCTCTACAGACTTCAGGCTCCAGACTGCAATCTCAACTCTTACCTGAGTTTCCAGCCTACTCATCTGCCCTACAAATCTCAGACTTGCCAGTCCCCACAACTGCGGAGCAAGTCGTTAAAATAAATCTTTCTCTCTCTCTAATTCCCATCAGTTTGTTTCTCTGGAGAGGCCTAATACAGGAACTGTGACCCAGATGTTCTCCTGGGCTCTTGACATGGCTCTGAAGGCAGAGTTCAGAAGGAAAGATAGACGCCGAGGTGTGGTCCTGTGATTTACCACCTTGGAGAAGGGCCCTGCTAGGTGCACTGACCCTCACCCAAAGGCTGGATTGCGCCGACCGGTGCGAGGTCAGAACTCCTTGTTCCGACCTGAAGGGCTCTCCTCTGAGCCCACAACATCCATTGAGTCCCTGGGCTAACTAAAATTACCATCATTTGTACTTCTCTTTGGAGAACTGTCGCTGCCTCTCTGGTCCTCTTGCTCCTCTCCCATGATCCTACCACGTATGGGTTCATCAGGCCTCTGTGGGCGAGGTTGGGAGCCTGTCCACGTAGAACATAGGGTCTGCAGGAGACGATTTCTGAGCAGCGCCGGCCTCCCACTCCCCTAACACCCAGCTGGAAGGGGAAACACCTCTGCTCTAATCTCCACTCCCCCCGCCAAAAAAAAGACCTCTACTGGCACCTCCAACAGGCTCATTCTGCCCCAGGGAGACTCCCCGGCGGGCGTCCGAAACCTCAGGCGCTGAGCCCGACGGGCGCAGCCACCAGCCCGCGTGCGCACGGTGGCGAGACCCACCTATCTCCTCGCCCAGGGAGGAGTTGAGGATGGCGCCGGCCGACATGACCACGGCGCAGCTCCGGAGGCCGCGCGGGTGCAGCTGGCTCAGCGGCACGGCGGGAACCAGCTTCTGCCAGCCGAGCGCCGAGAAGGGCGCCTCCTTGCCGTCCAGCGTGCGCACCCGCACCCGGCTCCGCAGCGCGCACAGCAGCTCGGCGCGGCTCAGCCCGGCCGCCCGCCGCCCGCGGAAGCGCACGCCGTGCTTGTTGGCGCTCAGGTAGTCCTGCATGGCCTTCTGCAGCCGCGGGTTGAGCATCTTGGACGAGACGTTTCCCTTCCAGAGCCGGTGGAGGAAGGCCCTGGACATGGACGAGTACAGCCTGTCCCCGTCGTCGCCGTGCTCCAGCACCAGGCTCCCGCCGGCTTTCCGCTGCCTCTTCCCCGCCCGCCTTCTCTGCGCCTGGCGGGCTGGTGCAGCCCCCTCCGACCGGCCTTGGTCCCGGGGGGAGAGGGCTCCCGGCGTGCCCTGAGTGTGGCTCTGCAACCCTGGCTGACCCGCGGCAAAAAAGTAGTCGTCGTCCTCCGGGTAGAAAGCACTTTGCGATTTCCTCCCGATCGGGGATGAAAAGAACTCTTCGTCACTTTCAAACCCATCCTGCACCTGGGCCCACTGCGACAGGTCGCCCGGCGCCCTGTGGAAGGGGCCCGACGGGCGTCCGTCCAGCAGGCCCTTGTGTGCACCCACGCTCTGGAGCAAGGAGGGCTCCTGCGCGGCGCCCATGATGGCCCTCTGCTTCCCCTGCATGGGCAGGAGCCTCCTGGTCTCCAGGAAGGAGAAGGAGCTGGGTGCAGGCTCAGCTGGGTTGCTGTCGGTGAAGTAAATGAACATCACCACGAAGAGGAGCCCCCAAGCGAATATCCCGCAAAGCATTCGTTGTCTCCATTGCTTCAAGTGTGGTTTCATGGCAGGTCCCTGGGGTCAGCACCTTGTGTCCTAAAGCGGTGGGAGTCCGAATGAACCTGAAAAACAGCCAGGTCTACAGTTAGCCACCTGAAGTCACCTGCTCCGATGGTGCGGGCGCTGGGGACAGTCTGGCCTGAGCAGCGCTTCTGCGGGGGAGGGTTAAAAGGGGCATCAGAAACCAGGATCATCTGAGAATTTTGACTAAATTCAAGTGTCACATCCCCTCCCACCCCCCTTCCCCAGACCGGACCTCTCTGCAAGAGGAGGGGTCCCACGGAGAGTCTTGGGAGAGAGGTGGAGGAGTGGCCGTATATTTGGAAAACCTCTGGAGGTATAACCACCTCCCCACCCTGACAGCTGCTTAATTGGGGCCCATCCCAACAACCTCTCTCTGCAATTGCCTTTATAGAATTCCATTTGGTAAAGCAAGGCAGCTGATTTAAGAAGTAGAGTTGGCCCTCTCTTCCCTGCTTTATCAGAACACCAAAGGCTCAGTTTCTAAGGGCTGACAACCATATCAGATTCTTCATGGTCTCCCCCAGGCCCTGGAGGCTGCCAGGAACATACCAGAAGTCCACCTACGATCCTGAATAAGCAATGCTTCAGAGACCGTGGCCGTGGGCCAGTGTTATACCAGAGTGCCTGTGGACTTCAAAACTACACTCAGATAAATGCCCTCCTACTTCATCCCCATCATGAGTCTCTGATGGAATAGGAGGGAAGTATGTTAACATTTCAAATAAAGGAGGAGATGAGGAAAGAGCTTGCTGTTTCTAGATGAGCCTCCAACAGGGAAAGGATGACAATGGAGGCGGAGATGAAAAGTATAAGATAAAATGTAAGACAGAAGGAACCTCTCCTTCATACACTACTGCAACCCATGTTTATTGCTACATTGCTGTGTGGGATAAGACAGTAATAAGAAATTTACCTAACCTTCAGGAATGTAAGCAAAGCCCCCCAAAGAGGAAAAATATAAGGCATGTGTAATAATACTGGAGCTTACTGGAGCCTAACAATGAGCACAGGGCCCAACGCAGGCAGACACTGAATAAATAGTGGCTAAAAGAATGACATGAGCCTCTGTGTGTGTGTGTGTGTGTGTGTGTGTGTGTGTGTTGGGGGCTGGAGGCTGTGTGTTTGGGTGATGGGATTGGAAGTAGGGAAAACTTAACTGAACAGTGATGCCATTCCAGCCATGGGAGACCTCACAGACCTATCTGGATGTCAGAGCCACAGGTTCTGTGAGAAATAGGGAGGAGTGAAGTTTTCTGAGCAAGGGCATACCATGCTCGTTGCATGGACTTTCAGATTTCTGTGTAGCAGGTAAGGGGGACAGGGAGGAGTGTAGGGAGGCAACACAGGGCTCAAAGGGGTCATTAGCAGAAATCAGACACTCAAAGTAGATGGGGAGGAACTCAGAGGGGTACTCCTTCCTTAGCATAGGCTGATGGATGCTACTAAAACTCAAAGGCATGTGAGGTGTGACCAAAATGCAACAGCTGGGGTTTGCACTCAGGTAACTCCTATCAAAGTGAGTGATACCTACATAAACCTAGTTACCGTGGAAGCTACATACTGTCTTTGGTGGTTAAAAAGATACGCCAATGTAAGAAAACCACATTTGCTTTGTGGCTCTGTAGCCGATTAAATATGGACACAGATTCGTTGACTCTCTTCCCATTGAGAGGTGGGGTCTACGGCTCCTGTCCTTGCATTTTGGGGAGGGCTCTGTAACTGCTCTGATCAGTTACTGGGCTCAGGTCCAGCAGCTTCCACTGCCTGCTTCTTAAAATGCTCATTCACAGGGGGAAGCTAGCCACCAACAAAGACATCTTTCTGACCTGAGTCCACCATGCAGCCAGGAAACCCAAGCTCGCCATGTGGAAAGGCCACATGGACTGAGCGATGCCCAGACGCACCGAGCTGTTCCAGCTGTCCAGCCCCCACACCAAACGTGAAGAGTGAAGACGCCCTGTTGCATGTCTAGGCGAGTTGAGCTTTCAGATGACCTAGCCCTGGCCAACCTCTGACTGCAACTGCAGGGAAGACCCCCAGTGAGAACCCAGCTGAGCCCGGTCTGCCCACAGAACCAGAGTGATACTGATAGATGGTGGCTCTAAGCCACTAGGTTTTGAGGCGATTTGTTATTACATCAGAATAGACCACTGCGACAGGCGCTAAGAGAAATGTGAAATGAGAAGTGCCCCAGATGCTTCCAACACTGGGGCATCCTTGAAATGAGTCTAGCTTCTCAGAGACGATTTGAAAAGCTATATTCAATTACATGTATAAGCTGTGGCTTTTAAAAAGTGTTTGCTTTCCCTTGTATTTGCATAAAGGCAAGGCCGTCGGTTTCATTTACAGTCAAAAATCAAACACACATGTACGGAACATGCATTCACCAAGCCAGACATGCTGATGCCAAGAAATTTACATAGAAGAAACAATGCCAGCAGTTAACCTATGTGCCACACCCCGTGCTTAGCACTCTTCCTCCAGTACCTCATTTGCTCCTCCCAGCACCTAGCGAGGTGGGAAATACTGCTATCTCCATTTTGTAAATGAGGAAACAAAAGCTCAGGGAGATTGAGTAACTTGCCCAAAACCACAGAGGTAGCCAGCCGTCGGCTTGACTCCAGCCCTCACACTTTTAACACTAAGTTCTGACTCCATTCGATCATACCAACGGAAGCTACAAATAAGGCTCCTTAAACGATCTGTGGGGAAGGATCATTTTTACCCCTCCAGACTGTCACAATCTGATACTTTTATATTTCCATTCCTGAATGTCTTGGCAAGGCCCGATTGCTGTAAGAGATGCTAAATGCTTACTACCAAGTTCCGTACACATCTCATCAGGAGCTGGTAATGAACAGTTTGCAGACGTGCACAGTCTTGGGACCACACTTTGAGGAAGAATCCACTAAATGATCTTTCTAAACCTGTCCCACCCTGGAGCGCATGCTTCAAACTGTAACACCTAACCTGAAGATCTAGAAGCTGTTTCCAGGATTTCTACATTTCTATTAGAAATCAGAAAATCACCCTCAATGACAGTTATTCTGTCTTCACCCCAACTGAGCACACTGAGTACAACTCCGACACTAACCTCTGGAGTTAGCACCGGCCCACGAGTTAAGGACTCAGTCCCAAAAGACTGCCTGTGCTTCAGACCTCAGCCTTAAGTGGGAACCCCAGGCCACCTGTGCATAATTATGAGCGCTTGGCCAGCAATCTGGGAGGTTCCCATGACACCCCTCAGGTTCCATAATTAGCTGGAATGAACTCAGAAAGGCCCTATACTAATGGTTACAGGGTTTTTTGTAAGGTATACACGTAGTTCGAGGTCTTGGGGGGTGGGTCCCAAACAGATTCTCTCCCCTCTGTCTGCGGTGTCGGAGAACATCACCCTCTCCCAACGTCACTGTGCTCATTAACCATGAAGCTCCACCAAGCCCTGGCATCCAGAGATTTTCCTGGGGTTTCATTTGCTAGGCATGCCTGATTGAATCACTGATTTAAGCATGTGATGGAATTCAGTCCCCAGTCTCCTTTCTGCCCCCAGAGGTCAGGCTGGCCCAAGGTCTTGCTGGTGACCAGACCCCATCCTGAAGCTATGCAGGGACCCACTTTGACTGTAAAGAGTCACCTCATGAACATAACAAAGACACTCCTGTCACTCAGGAAATTGCCAGGGTTTTAGAAGCCCCATGCCAGGAACTGAGGAAAAAGACCAGACAAATTATTATACCACAATAAGGCTGTAGCTGCTAATTTAAAATGCAGTCTTTTTGCTTCTGGCTGGAAATCCTCATTACTTGGTTGTCCCATACTGAGCAACAGCTCTGGGCGCTTACTTGGTGGATTATTAAAGAATGGGGAGTGGAGGTTCTTTGTTCAGCATTTGCTTGAGAGACTATTTTTAAAACACAGAGTCAGAAGGGGAGGGGTGTGCACAGGATTACTGTGGGGGAAATGATGAAGAGGAAACCTTGATCCTTTGGGGAGGACCTAGAAACCTCTGGGCCTGGGGTTCAGAGCTGAGGGTCCTGCCTCCCCTCCCCCCATGCCGGATGACAGATGACCCTTAGCTGCTTCGGAACTTCACAGTGGGAGTATCAGACATACAGACTTCATTATACAGAAATGCCCAGTTCCCAACTGAAGCAAGTGAAGACTTTTTTTTCTCTGTGGGGAAATGACAGACATGGAAGGGAGGGAGAGCAGGTCTCGAGAAAAGAAGAGCCTAAAAGGGAAAAGCAGGAGAGAAGGAGCTGTGGTGGGGCCAGGAGCCTGGGGCAGATTTTGTTCTCTCTGCCCACTTTTTTGGGAAGTAGAAGGGTGGGATTTGTGAAGCTCTCTGAGCACCATGAAAGCACTAGGGATCCCAATGCATTAGGAAAGATTAGGTAAGATTTTGTGGCTTTTGATGCACAGTAATAATAGAAAGGAGTGGGATCACTGTCTCAACTCATGATTAGGCTGAACTTTTAATAATCCAAAAGCTTCCCCGCAACCTCTGTCACGGCAAACCTGCTGCTGCCAATTAAGGGAACATTCTCCAAAATGATTAAATCGCAAGGCAAGAGCAAATCCTCTGCCAGCAAAATGCTACAGAAATCATTTTACGTATCACGGGTCCCGTCATCAGCATCTTTATAAAAATCCAGGTGAGAGAGAGATGGAGGATATCGTCAATGCTATATCCATTGGTCATTCTTGTCCTTAAAAGGACCATACAGGCTAATAGGAAGAAAGGTTCAGCTAAGCAACAGAAAAAGGAAAAAAAAAAAAAACAAAAAAACATATTTTTTCCCCTCTAATGTGGTATATCTGAAATATTATAATGATATAGCTTAAGCAAAGTAATGTATACTCATTGCTCTATTGTATCATTAGCTGGTGTGATATAAATTGCATCAGGGAGACATAAGAGGTGCATCAGGCGAATCATCTGTCCCCAGGTGCCAATGACAGAGTGTTCCCGGATCTCATGCTCACATGTGCTTCGTTGGGGCTAGTTTAAGTGACTGAGGCGGTTGAGTTCCTGCCA